TTCTTAATTTAAGGGAGGGGAGACAATTAAAACTAAAAGAAATCCCTTAGTAAATATACCTTAATAGATGATTAATGTGAAAAACTGGCCTCTTGCAAAAGAACCTCAAAAGAAAACAGCCCAAAATAAAACATATGCCATCAACCATCAACTAAGTAACATCAATTCATACTGGATTAACCTTATGCCTGTGATTTCAAATAACAAAACCTACAAAACTCTAATGAACATGCCTTTTCAGGCTTACCCCACTAAGAATGAAAAACATGACATAATCCTTTGAAGCATTTGCAAATTGATGTCATCATTATTTTCTTAAATCACTCTTTGAAAACAAAATCAAAGAAACTAAAAAACTGCATGATGCTATAAAGTGATTTCTACATCTCTCAAATTATAAAGAGAATTCCTTATTATTTAAATTTTCCCAAGCATGCCCAAGTAAATATGTACTTTTCCAGCTATGCTTTAATTAGGCTCCCTTTCTAGTTTGGTATTTAAAAGTAATGCTTTCATCTCACAATTCTAAAAACTTTTCTAAATAGATCACGTTGATAATGGTGAGGTCCATTTAAACACACTTCACTGGACTTACTGTTGTAGAAACTAACGGACTTTAATAAACCAGTCTGGTTTTCACATTCAGCCATTTCCAAGCACTTCCGGGGTCATGTTACTCCACAAACATACCACCAATCCTTGAGGTTTTTTTCCTGCCAGTTCTGATGAGGCCTTAGTAGAAAAATTATTTGCTTCTCCCCTTCTCCCCAAAGACAACTCTTCCCCATCTTTAGGCAACAAGTAACATTTGGTGAATTAAGCTAACTCTTACAAAATTTAACTGTAAATATAACCAGATGCTAGACTAGGATGCCAAAAGAACATGTGAGAACTTATAAGGAGGCTGAAAGACAAGACAGCTACCCTCTGCAAAAAAAAATGGAGCTGCTGACAGAGAAGGCAGGGCGTGGGCTACAGGGGCACCTGCACACCCAGATGCATGTATGTAAAAAAAGGTAGCACTGTGCTAATATGTACTTGTGATGGGAGACAATCATGATCTGCCAAACAAAGGCCTTCATGTAAGCAAAGTGGGGTGAGGAAATGGTTCCTATTCCTTTAAGATATGTGAAGATCCGGTTGGGGTAAAGGATCCGGGTGGGGTAAAGCACCATGCCTTCCTTCCAAGATCTCACAGCCAACAAATACATGGGGCAGTTTATTAACTTTTTTTCTTAGAAACGTTTACATTTTTCTAGTGTTATAATTCAGCTTCAGTACTGATCTCACTTCACACAGAAAAACTGTTTTTCTCTTGCTTTCCTTTATCTTTAATTTCTTCCACTTTCACCCACCCCTCTAAGATTTTAGTCACTTTGAAATTTGTAGAAATGACAGGAATGAATATAACCATGTGTCCTCTTGGTGGAAGAAAAAGCAAAGAAACCGCTGGGGCTGACACTAACATTTACCCCCAACTCGAGGCAGCCCAAATCACCAAGTGACAGCTACACCTCCAGGGCCTAAAAAGTCTACAGAGCATAGGCACTGCGGTCATCCTCCCAAAGGGGAAGACTGGAGAGACAGGAAATTGGTTTGCTGTCTTTTTCTTTTTTCTAAGGAAAGGATAAATTCTAACCTTAACTGAGAAGTTTGATTGTGACTCTTCCATACTAAAATAATCAATTATGCATATTAAAAAAAAAAAAACAACAACAACAAAATGAGAATGTGCTGATGGCACCAAAGTCCTGCTAAAAAACAAATCTTCCCTAAGAAATTTCCTTTTTCTGAAGTTTACTAAAGTAGCACACCAAACACAGACAAATGTATCTTGCTTTTACCAATAATTAGGTAAGTTTTCTTGAGGTCAAAATGAGGAAGTATCTACTAGCAAACGGAAACTTAGTGAAATATGTAACAGGTTTAAAAAACATCTGAAGTACACCAACTAACATGGCAATCTTAACTTAGACTGCTGATCAGATGTTCTCTTCATATTTGTATTAAAATTAGATGAAGAATGAGAAAACATGCTAATCAAATATGTGAATGTGGTGGGAGTAGGAAGACATAGTTAATAGGTACCAAATCCAGACTCAATGCAAAGAGAGCACAAACCATTAGGATAAGACAACAATACAATCAAATATTCATTTGTGCTCAAAGAAAAAAAAAAGAAAAGAAAGAATGGAAGAAAAAGCTGGCCTGTGAACAATTTTTATGGGGAAAAGAATGAGCTAGAGGCAACAATTCTATTTGAGCCAGAGGTGTGATGATGCATCTAAATATGAAAAGTAAATGGTAATATTAAAATTTTTGAGGCTGGGTCATTACCACACGGGGTCTTGAATATGGATGAAATACTTAGAGTAAGCGGAGAAAACCCTGAGTGGATCCTGATGAGAAAGACTGAGGAGCAAAGTCAAACACTAGAGGAGCTGTGAGGTCCAGAAAAGGAGAGGACAAAGCTGCCAGTACAAACTTGGCTGCCTGAGCTCAGCATTCTCCCCTTTTTAGCCTGGGACCATCCAAAAGCAACAAGGAAAATGGAAAACAGAAACAGAAACCTCATTGTCAGCAAAACTGAGAGACAAGACTCAAAAATATCTGCAAGGGCTTCTAAGATCTCCAGTTGATGCAGAAGCCAAGGAGGAGGAAGCAGAGGAAAACAAAGGAGAGAGATCCTATCAGCACATTTCAAGGAGCAAAGGAAGAGTGGAGTATATACACATACAGATTTCTTAAAGATGAAGAACTTAGGCAGGGCAAAAGCACTAACCTGCAAAGAGAGCTCAGAAATAGAAATGGTGGTGACAGGAGTCCTTAGCACCAATAAGCCTGATCTTATGGCAGCTGCATAGAAAGGAAAACCTATACTCAGTTTCCCTACAACCTTGACTCTTGGGCCATTTCTTTTTGCCAGTCATTGCCAGATATTTGTCATCTCCTTTCAGTTTTAACTGTCATTTATCTTATGACTGAGGCTAACCATCTTTACCTACTTTGCTAATAACAAAAAGAATCCCTATTCCCCACACAGTTCTGATTGAAGGTTTAATGCCAATAAAGGGCTACAAATCATTTATGGGCTCAAATATTCCCAAATTACCTTCTGGGACCTAGAGTATAGACAATGCTTAATTACCCTGGGCTAGAAAAAAGGAGCTAGATTACCAAGAATCCAAATCAGTGGATTCTATTCATGCAAATCTGCCCTGTTTCATACCTAGCTCCATCTTTTCTGATTAAGAGGTGCCAAGAGGTGACTGTGAGTTTGAACTTTTACTAAGAAGTTGAAATTAAAGGGCAAATTAAAGCAAGTAAAGTGCAAAGTTCTCACTTAGCAGACATCCTTAATCCTCAAGTCTTTATTTTAACTAATAAAACAAAATGGCTGTAAAACTTTAGTGTCTCTCCTCTAGCCAGTGCTGGTCTTCACTCTGTAATCCTCACTCCCTACTGGGCACAGAGGCTGGATAACGAACACTTGTCTCACTACCACTTGGCCTGAAAGCAATTTCTGTAGCAAATTCTGTGTTACAAACGGGCTGGAGCTAAAGTTACAAACCACCAAACTAACCTGTATCGTGTCCTCAGGGAAAGTAGAGTCCAGGATTTAAATGGACAGTGGAGAATGTTGAATAAAGACACAATTGGAAATTGAGCCTCAAAACTCAAGCATTCTCATATACAAAGTCCATGGTCAACAGGCAACCTTGAAAAACCCTGGACTACTCTGGGTTTCTGTTATGTTCAAAGAACATGGAGAAAGTCTTAAAAATACTACAAAAGAGTTTGCAAAGAAGCCACAAAAAGAGTTACACAAACAGCAATATTGTCCCTCCTACAGAGGAAGGTTATGTCCTATGTTTTTTTCTGCAAGCCCAGGCTGAACATTTCCATTCTCCTTAGCTAGACAGACACTGGTTTTCTAACTCAGGTAAAAGTATAAGTTTTGCAGAATTCAGACTATAAAACACACAAAACAAAGATTCCCCCCAACCCAAATACACTCCTAACTAACTTGTGTAATATGTGCTGTTATCTAAATTAGATTCCACTATTTAGTATCAATACAGGGCTTTTTTGTTGTTTTGGGTTCTTTTTCTGCCATAAGAAATGTGAAGCGATAAGGTGTATGAATTAAGTGGAGACTACTATGAATGAGAAACTGGGAGTTGTACTATTATGAATGAGAAACGTGGAGCTGTGAGACATATTATGAAAGGTAGTTAGGAAAATAAAATCAAAAGTTTCTTTGAGCCCCAAGTGAAAGAGAAATAACACTTCTATGAATCACAAACGAACAAGTTGTGGGTAACCACATCACCAGTGGTGCTTAGTATTAATGAATTAAATGAGCAGCAGGTAGTACAAAATGTATTTCCCTATCACAGGATATAATTAATCTCACTAGATAACAATTAGATTACAGAACAGCATTTGTATTATACCCAATGTAATTGTTTTTTTCATCCCTTATTATAGTGTGTGCCTAAAGTTAAGGCATTTATAAAAAACTAAAGTTAAGGTGTCTGTACCAAAAAAAATGTTTTTCCTGTGAAAAAGTCTGAAGTTTCAGAAAAATATGTACACATGAACTTAGATCCAGAGGCCAAGAGAAGAAACTAAGTCAGGTCAAGCTTGAGCTGGCCAACTTAAACCACAAACAGAAACAGCCTTTCCAGAACTGGTATGATGCGGTCTCTGGGACCCTGCTGCTCTGCATCTAGCACAATGGTGGGGCAGGTCCTTCAGTTTTTACAAGCAAGGAAAACATTTCAAAGACCTCAAGGAATGTGAAGACCTGACAGTCCAAAACCATAGACAGAAGCCTTCCTTCTGAAGTTACCTGACTAGCTAAGTTACCTAACTAGCTAGTTACCTGCAGGGGAAAGGTATCACATCAGGAGGCTACAGAAAACATTCCTTTGAGTGTCTGGCTACCAGTGTGAATAACGAAAGAGAATGCCCACTGGACATTTCCCTCTTCCTACCTCTTCCAGCCTCCGCCTCTGTTCTTTCTGCTGCTCAATCCGTTTCTGCCTCTCTGCCAGCAGCTGCCTTTTATATTCTTCTTGCTCCCGGAGCTGTTGCTCCTGCAGTAGCTGCTGTCTCCGGAGAGCCTCGGAACGTTCCTTGTTCTCCTGTTGCAGTCTCAAGAAATCCCGACGAAGCGTCGACTCACCAGGCACGTTGACAATGGAGCTGTAGGTAAAGGCAGAGATTTCAGGAGTACTCACAGATCACTCTGCCCTCCGGATGAGACAGCGGCCTCAGCATGCTATTCCATTTCTCATTCATCCTCTTAATGAGTTCCTTCCACCCTGGGACTCAAACTAAACATGGGAATAACTGTATCTACAACTCAATAGTATTACATCCTTTATCTGTTTCTGTCCAGGATGTCTGCATGACGAGACATCTCTAACTTCGGATTCTCACATCAACTCAAACCCTATAAAAGGAAAGTTGAAATCCTCTTCTCCCACTTCATTAGTCCCTCTCTGACCACCTTATTTCCCACCAATAAAAGCAACATCACGTTCTGAGTCTACCACAATAGAATGATCAGAGTAATCTTCAGCACTACCCTTCCCTTCTTCTTCTGGTCCACTAAGTCTTGTCACATATGCCCTCCCACTGCCTATTTCCAGAGTAAGCAGCTGAGCCCAAGTGGGTCCCAAGAATGAGCCACTGGGAGATAAACAACATCATTCCTAGCTGGTCTCCCTGCTGAGAGCCACCACTCTACTTCCAATGCCCAGAAATAACATGGCAAATCAATCTCCTGAAACCACTCTCTCCTTCTATCATACTCCTATCCAAAACAATTATATTTCTCATGAAATCGATTCAAATTACTAGAAAATATTTAGTCTCAGATGGATTAAAACATTCTCCTATGTATGAAGAAGAGGATATTACGGAGTTTTATCAAAAGATTTTCTCATCTCTTCATGTGCTCTCTTCAAACCCCCACCACCCACACGTGGGTCCCTACAGGTCTCTCAACACGCCCTTCCAGCCTCCTTTTGTTCAGTAAGTTTTGTGTGGCTAAAAGCACAAAGGACTGCCAGGCAAGACCATTATTAAAATTTCAAAATCTCATATTCCTTGAATAGTTACTATAAGGTTCATACTAGCAAACCTTCAACCTTCTGCTTCACTGTACCTTGGGAAGCCACAGATAACCAAAACATAGACTAGTAGATGGGTCAGGACATTATATACACTCGTAGAAAAAATGCAATACTGGTAACCACACTTGTGGGAAGAGCAAAACAAAACAAAACAGAAAATTTTAGTAAAGACTGCAGGGTTTTTCAATGGAGGCCCTACTGGCCCATGAGCAGGACAGTTCTTTGTGGGTAGGACTATTTAATACGCAGCACAGCATTTACCATCCACGCCTTCTGGAGCAGTAAGTGCCAGTGGCAAGATCCCTTTCCTTAGAACCAAACACAACATTCTACATTTCCAAATAACTGGGGGAGGGGAAACGGTGCAATCTTGGTAAAGCACCACTGAATAAGAGAATCCAGAGGGAGAAAAGTGTTCATAAGAATCTTTTGAAGAATGAAGAAGAATGAAGAGATTAAGGTACTTTCAAAGTACTTTAAGATTTCTTCGAACTACGCAGGCATCTTTTGAAATCCTGGCATTAGCATGAAACAACCTCTTAATAAAGCAGGAAGCTGAACAGTGGCTTCATCATTATTACCTTGGCTCTCCTTCCTGCTCAGGCACTTCTTCCTCTTCTTCCTCACTCCCGCTGTACTCATATTCGGTTTCATCTATAAAGGACAAGATAAATGGAACAGTTCACAAATCATGACACATGGATGTACACGCAAACATCTCTAAGAGCACTATGGCAGAAAATAAATGATACGTTCTTTATGAAAATGACAATGTATATGGAGTACCTGGGGAAGGAGGGGGGTGACACCCAATTCCCTGGGCCACCCTTACTCCCCATGGAAGAGCAAATTTCACTGTATTCAAGACAGTCCCTTATGGGATACACTGGTGAGGGGGTACAGGGCTGTGAGAGGGGTGCTCAAGCTCTTGACACTCAAGAAAAGTGACTCCAATGCATCAGCAAATTGGCAAAATCCCACTGATGCCAAAAGGCTAAAGAAAGAGATTAACTGCCCAAACTAAGGCAACTAGGAGATGTCATCTGGTTACTGTTGGCACTCAGGGAGACACTCAGAGTGCAGCAGAGAGAAAGGTCTGCGGGACTGATGAGTGAAGTACAGGAAGTACTTGGGGCATTGAGAGACAAAATCCAATGTCCCCACATATTACAAAGGTGAAGCCAGGGAAAAATCGGTGCGAAAACAATACAGCAAGAGGAGGAGAGAGAAGGTGCTCTTCTTTCACCACATTAAGCAAAAATGTCAACATGAGCAACCTGTTTTCACATCAGCAGGTTTTATACTACGTCACCCCAAGCAACAGACCTTGTACTTAAGGTCAGTACCTAAACTTTGAGTGAACAATTTCACTCCAGAGAGCAATCAAAACTAGAAAGGTTGAAGAGATGTGTAAAACAAGTCTATTTGCAAACAAAAACCACATTTCTAACTTTTTTCAGAGACAAATAAGTTGGAAATCAGTATCTCGGTAAGAAAAACAGTTCTGAGAACTTAAAATGGGGTCAGTCTACATTATATATAATTCTAGATACATGTATCTACAGATTCATCAATCTATATATACAACATTAGTTCTTTTCACTGAGAAGACCATCAAAACTGTATAATTTTAAAGAACATAAAAATAGGTTAGCTTCCAAAGGAAATTCTAACCTAAGTAATCTTTAGATTCTTTTAAGTAGTACTCTGTTATGTTTACGATTTGGTACTATGAACTATTAATTATTGACAAGAGGCTGAGGGTATCTGAAAGGTAAATGAATGTAACTTGAAAATAAAGAAATGAAGATAAAGTGCTCCATAATTCCCATCCACAAATGTGCACAAGAGTCCAGGCGGAGTACTCCGTAAACACCTGGCATGGAGCAAATGCTCCATGAAGATGAGCTATTATTAAGAAAGTACATACTGGGAAAATGATTCAATATACAAATAACCTCCCTCTCCCACCCCCAAAAAAGCTTTGTTTTCAAATTTCAGTTCACTTATTGTAACTGCATAGCTTAACATACCAAACTTAATTACTTTTATAACTGAATATATCAGAGGACCAAAAGTAGTTGTGAGCATCGCTGATAATGTAGCTCTGAAGACTGAAAAGAACATGTAAAAAGCTCACTACAGACCTCCAAAGAGGACTGTGACTAAGTCTTTTTACTGTCTTGAACTTGCTCTTCTTAGTTTCTCTTTTGGCCTTGAAATTTGAACGTCAAAAAAATTCACCATCAAGATGCCAGTTATCAAACGTGGTTCTGTAAAGTTATAAGAATTCATAAAACAGAAAGATCAATGTGAGCTGGAGGCCTTGGTGAAGGCGGAAGATGGTGGAGAAGCCTGAGCTCCATCTTGCTGGACAGCAAGGAGACAGATGGTGCTCCGGACAGGTAGATACAGACCACACAGAGATATAAAACCAAGACACCAGGAACAGAAAGAAACATTAAATAATTAACATGTTCACGTTGTGCTATGGTGACAGAAAAGTAGTCAGGCACACATGTGGCCCAGGCCTGGCCACACCACCTGCACAGAGTAAAGCAGTAAGAAACCCAGAGGGTTCTCAAGTAGGAGAGACATGCAATGAACACATGGATGGTGATGTTCACAGCTAGTGCTCAATAAACCTTGAGTGACTTATTCAGAATGCAAATGCACATAATGAAGTAAAAAGAGAGCAACAAAGACATGTTCCTGAGGAGGAACAAGAGAAACATCCCTTCATGCTGACAAGCCACAGTGGCGGTTTATCTGGTGTCAGCTTGGTGACATAGCATGCAGCTCCGGTCTACTCCACCTGAGCCGGGCTGGCCCTGAGGCTCACGGCTGACCTGCAGAGCAGAGACAAACTATGCCAGCACCAGCCAAGGGAGCACAAACTCCTGGGTGGAAAAGGAGTAACCTATTCTGGTGGGCAAAAACCTCAAAAATTTTTTTTTTTTTTTTAAGATGAAAATAAAAACAGATTAATACCTTTCTCTCCTCTCTTCTTTCTGGTCCGGTCTATGTGGTCCTTAAGCTGGATTCTAACTTGCCTTTCATTTGGCTGATCCCTTATAAAAGGATGTTTCAAAAGCTGCTCGGTGGAGGGCCGCTGCATGTAATTCTTCACCAGGCACCCTTCTATAAAACTAAAAAATTTCTTTGACCTGTAAGAGAAAGTAACAAAGATCATCGAATTTCTACTGCAAAGAGCAAAGCTCCAAAATATCAGTAAATTATTAGTCTGAAAACATACAAGAGCTTCATAATTCACTGTGAACATTCTGCAAATGCACAGGGAAAGTATGAGGAATCCAGGACCATTGTGGATAAGGAGCATCACTTAAACACGGTTTAAGAGTTATACCACACCACCACCAATACACCACAGAGAGCTCTGAAAGCAGTCAGCTTTAAATGAACTAGGTTTAAATGTAATGTTGCTTATTAGTCATTTAATCACAGGGGTTTTTGTGAAAATGAAGGCAGACAGGATAGTAGATGTCCGGAACCTGGAAGACAAGGATGGACACAAAGATAAGGAGCTGGTAAATGACCAAATGCTTTGGCTCTTGAACCTGTTAATACGACATTTCGATCAGTTCTCTATGCTTAATGTACAGAGACAGAAATACATAATAGCTCTGAGGAGGGCAAGGACTCTGTCACAAACATTTACCCTACTAGCTACTCCTACTTTTCCCCTTTCCTCCATGCCTGGCTCATGATGACCTCCATCCATGGCCTTGGCCAAGACACTTAACTATACTATCTTTTGAGACTAAGATAAGATATGGTTTCTTTAGGTAAGGCTTTCCTTGGCAACACTCCACCCTACATGCCCCAAATTGGAAGCCTTTCCTCTAAGGTTGTTTGCATTTAATAGACTATACACTTCATGTTTATGTTTGTCTCCCTGCTGGGGTACAGGTCAGGAACGGATTTCTACTTTTCAACTTGTCGGCAATGCCCAGCACTGAGCATGGCAGACCACAAGAGGTATGTAATAAATTTTTGTTGAATGAATGAGTTGTTCAGTCTTTAGTTCAGTTCTTTCTAATTACTTCACTACTTTGAAGAATCACTTCTATTGTCTTGTATTTCCATTCAAATTTCCCATTTTTTTGAATTCGAAAAATATTTACATTTCAATTTACATTTGTTTATGCTAGGCTCTGTAACAAATACACATAGGAAATAAAGTGGAGGAAATCTATGGACGCACAATAGCAGGTATGTACTCAACCTTACAGAGGAAGAAAGAACTACTGCTACAGGGGGTTAGCCAGCATAAAAAAGTAGGATAGTTGATATTCTAGAAATGGGAGAGAGAAGCCACCATTCCAGAGTGAAAGGAACAACATGAACAAAGGGAGAAAAGTATTAGGGAGTAATGAATCGTTTTCTGATGCTAGTATAAAAAGTGGAAACGAACAGAAAAATAGGTCAGAATCAGCTCAGAGAAGGGTCCTCAAAGTCACACAGCAAGGCTGTGACTTTATTCTGTGGCTAATGAGGAACATGGTAGATTCTACACAGTTGTAGTGGAAACTGCTCTAACACAGAGACTCCTAAACTCCAATGCCCATCAACTCCACTTTGAGAGTTTATTAAAAATACAAATACCTGGGTCACTCCTCAGACCTAACAAACAAGAAACAGTTTGAGGATGGAACCCTAAATGAAGATTCCAAAGGGATTCTCACATTCCATGTCTACAAATTAACATTTGGGAATCAATGATCTACAATATATTCTTTAAAATCAATTGTCAAGTTCTGCTAGAAGAGAATTCACTGATCACTTCTCTAAAACCAGCAGGAGAAATTTACACTGGTGGATAGGAAGATAGCAATCAGAAAGGAAAAAGAACACTATGTTTGCAATCATCTCATTCTTTCAGAATACCTGGATAAAATGACAGCAATGATGTAAATGGATGAAAATGCATCTAATCAACTTTAGAGAAAATGTGGTGTAAGAAAGCAGGAAGATTTGTTGCCATCTACAGCTGTCTCTTTAGATCACTGTATTATACACAGAATGGTTAATCCCAAACTGCAAATAACAGACAGAATAATCAGAGTGGGGCCAGCTGACAAGACTTGTGAATTGTGAGGTACCCTGAAGACAGAGCATAAACTCCCTTTAATAAAAATAGCATTATTTAGTTTAGCTAGATAGTGTTACCCACCCCCCAGAACTTACTCCTTGGTGATGTCCTCTATACACATTTGGTTTCCCTAAAGTTGGCCACCCACCATTGATGACTACAGCTATCATGCTTCAGTACAAGAGACCAAGTGGGGCTAAAATCTTGACAACTGTACGGCTTTAGAGAACTCTCTAAAAACTGGTAAGTGGAACTAGATAAGCTCAGTTATCTGGAGTTGAAGGTGGTTAAAGACAGTGTAAGTAGAATGAGAAAATTCCTGCCAGCAGACAAAAGGTACATAAAGACAGTGAGGAACGGGGAGAAGTATGAAAGAAACAAGAGTGAAAACACGTGCGTGCATGTAAAGCCCACAGATGGGCAAAGAAAACCACAGAACATCAGAAGATGAGCAACCAAGAAGAAGAGCACAGTAATAGCTAAAAGACCAAATCCAGAACAGAAGAACGCTGGAAACTGAGATGTTTCACATACTTCAGAATTAGAGTCAAGAACCTAAGAGGAGATAACACTCATCGGAAAATAAGTGAGAATAGTTTCAGAAGGGGAAAAAAACCACCATAGTAGGAGGTGGGCACCAGTGAGACAGACGTGCCCTGGAAAACAGGAATGGAAGAAAGGGAGAGGACCCACGTGCATGAGGAGCCTGAATGGAGACAAAGTGAGAGGAAAGGACTCAAAAAAAAAAGTTCAAGGAGAAATAAGGGAGCAACATTCTCAGGTGAAAACAAAGCACTACCCTCTCCTGTAAAGACTTTTAAAACTAAACCAAATCAACACTTTTCCACACCGCTACAATTCTTAAAGCTTTCATGAGGAAGGTCACCATCATCTCCCTTCACTCATGAGCAACTTTGGCTTTGCAAGTATGTGAGCTGCAGGGAGAAAGACAGGTGGCAGCCCAAAGAGAGGACCATTCCTCTCATTTCTGGAATGAAAAAAGATACAAATAATTCCAATGTTTTGCAATCATTACAGATTTAAATGCCTCCATTAATGTTCAAATCCTATCTTACCCGAGGAACTACAAAGTCAGTACAGCTATGCTTTTTAATGTGAAAATGCTTAGAAATATACTTAAAAGTGGGCTTAAATATTAAAGTGAAACTTTTTTTCTTTAACCATGTTACAGTATTTCATATGGTCACTTGTTACTATTTTGTAATGAAAAGAATTTATCAAGAAAAAAACCAATTTAACTGGTGTTTCACGGTGCTGGCTCTTACGTTCTTTGGGAATGAAAATGGCTAGAATTTTGTCTTGGAGCGAAACTGAAAAGGAACAATTTGTTTTAAAAAAGGAAAGAACAACAACAACAACAAAAGCATACATAGCTTACCATTTTTTTGACTTCAGCCTGGGAGGAGGGTTTCTGGGAATGAGAAACAGTGCTCTCATTGGATGCATGTCACAGAGAGCTGGGGAAAGGAGATGGTTGTGTCAGTATGGCACTTCTTTTACTTATTTTTAATTTCTAGGGCTCACTCAAAATATCAAATGCGCTGTCCCATCATCTGATAATCTTTATGTCAAGCAGTTTAGACATCCAGCTATCAACCCTAGGATATACCTTGAATTTCCCCCTTTATAAACATAGCAAAAGATAAGGAGGTCAAGAGCAACAAGAAGAACATAATTTCACAATTCAAATTGACATTGGAAAGTTTTCATAAATCAAAGATAAATATGGATTCAAAGTCTTAAAAGAGTGAATAGCTTAAGTTTCTACACCATCTATAAGATCTCAACGAAAATAATTTTATTGTCATAGGGTCATTGTGAGGATTAAATCAGATACTGCTCGAAAAGGCATTCACAGAGTGCCTAGACATAGTAATAAACCCAGTGAAGCCCTCCAGAAATGTTAACTGTTCTTTTGCTATAGCCAGTGTTACTAAGAAGGAGCAAAGACGAGAGACAAAATGGATTGTTTGATTCAGTGCATTTACTGTTTATACTTCTTTCACTTGCCCATAAAGGCATAGCAGGTGTAAACGCACATATTAATATATCAAAAGAGGTAATGTGCATTTTTGTATGTTTATTTACCTTCGTAAGAATCTTACAAGGCAGCTGAGAAATGGGGGCCAAGAAGACAATCTATTCCCACTGTGAAAAAAACCTGAAACAAAGGATCTGGCAATACATCCCTGTCTCAATTCCTCAGAGGGAAACATGAGGAAACATGGTGTTCAAGACTGACATCCATTTCTGTACTGTAAACTAATTTTTAGCCATTGGAAATTTTTTTCATTCATTCAACAAATATTTATTCAGCAGCAACTATGTAGCATGACATGTACACATTCTTTGTGTACCCCTTTTTTTAGGGGGAACAGCAGATAACGCTGTTTTGTCCCTTTGTTCTCTGCAATTCTACCCGTCTCTGCTCAAAAATCAATTTTATGAACTTGTCATTGATTTAACTGAAAGGGAGAAGCAAATTTCATAAGTATCCAAAAAAAGGGAAAAAAAAAAGAAAAAAAATTATTCTACAGATAAAAAGTTAGGCCTCTATTTGTAAAGTAATAACATAAGTATTACTAAAATGTCACGTGTTAGGATTTAGTTTCACTAAAGTTTAAATTGTGAAAAGAAAAATTACTGCCTATTATCTGATGTCAGCATAATTTCAGGTCACACATCTAAATACAACTTACATAAAAGATAAAATGTAGCCTACAGACTTCAGGGATCTTCAAAAGGAAGAGTGGATGCCAAGAATCCTTTTACATCTAAAACTTCACTGTATTTATGATTCCTTCCACTAAATGCCCCACTAGGAAAGGCTTTATCCATGAAGTTGTTCTTTTTGAAGGCTTGAGACTGATTTTAACTCACACAGAAGAACTGGGCTAAAGAAGAAAGTACATTACTTACGGGGAGCACCTTCTGCCATTTCAATGGCTGTAATGCCACAAGACCAAAGGTCACTCTGCAAAAATAAAACAGTATGTTACAGCTACTGGATTAGATATGAAGCCACTAACTTATCACTGCTGACTAGTCACACAAATGATTTAAAGGCATTTTTTGGCATATAAACTGAAAAGAAGTTGCCAGAAAATTAAAAGCACAAACACATACTAAGAATACTTTCCAAATGAATGAATGAATGAAAAAATAAATATAAAATTGGCCTGTTAACTAGAACCACTCCCATCTGTGACTGAACGAGAGATGGTCCACGTAAAAGCTTCTCTCGGCCACTGCATGCCTGCTGTTCAGTGTGTCTCCTCATTTCTTTACGTTCAATAATTTTGACTCCTGGCCCAAGTTATGTTTAATTTTATGATTTATGTCACTATCTCAAACTTAATTAAGGTGTTAAAATTTTAAAGGCTAACCTGAAACTAATATACACTGTATGTTAATTATACTTGAATTAAAAAATAAATTAACCTTAAAAAAAAGTTTAAAGGCTAGAAAGCCTTCTTTATAAAAGGCTCAGAGTTGAATTCACCGACTGTAATCACACCGCTAAGCCTCTCTACTCTCCCCTCAAACTTAATAAGGAGTAAGCAATCAGCTGCCTTTCTAGGCATGGAATCTCTTCTCAGTCCCCTGAAATATTAATTGTAAAATTTGAATTTTAACTTCATTCCCCACCCAAATACAAGTTTCATGACGGCAGACATTCTCGTCTGTTTTATTCACCTTTGTGTCCCCAAAATTGTGACTGGCATGTGGTAGGCACTCAATAAACATCGGCTGATGAATGACGGAAGTAAGTTTTATCAGCCAATTTCTTAAAATCCAAAACAGATTTTTAAAAAGCAGACAATCGGGTAGTTATTATCATTAGCATTCTTTTGTTTATATGCTATATTCTAATGAAAGATTTACTTAAAGTTGCTCAGTTTTCTAAATAACCTATAATTATGTTACACAATTCAAACACATGTTTGATTCCAAGAAGGACAGGCCCACAAATTTCTCCCTTATTTTTATGAGGTTTTCTATACTGTCAAGCGCAAAGGAGGGACTTCACCCACCTGGACTCAGTGACTAATCTTAAGCATCAGTGGCGGGATATACAGATGTTCACGCCCCCCTGGTGTGATGTAACACAAACCATACCCATCTCCTGAGGCAATCCTGCTTTAGGTTTTCTCAATACTAATGGAATTTCTCCAGTTTATAAGACACAAGGAAAATACCTTAACAAAGATTGTAAAGTTAAAATTTAAAAATGGTAAGACAAATCTATATGGTGGAATACTGCCTTGTCAACAAATCAGTGTCATGAAAAAAAGAGGAGGAGGGGCAGTTTGTTAGTCTTGATTAAAAGATACACAGTAGCCAAACAACCAAATACAATGTCTTGTCCTATATTAAACACTCGTTTGGATAAGCCAGGTATAAACCAGTTGGGTTTAATTACAAACTCTGTACTATGAAATTATTTTTAATTTACTTAAGCATCATAATATTTTGGGTATGCTGGAAAATATTTTTGGATATGTAATAACATAATAAAGAGTGAAAAGTCACCTAGTCTATAATTTATTGTAAAATACTCCAGCATGTTTAAAAATAAAATAAAAATTTCTTGGGGCGTCTGGGTGGCTCAGTCGGTTGAGTGTCCGACTTCGGTTCAGGTCATGATCTCACGGTCCGTGAGTTCGAGCCCCATGTTGGGCTGTGTGCTGACAGCTCAGAGCCTGGAGCCTGCTTCGGATTCTGTGTCTCTGTCTCTCTTTGACCCTCCCCCGTTCATGCTCTGTCTCTCTCTGTCTCAAAAATAAATAAACATTAAAAAAAAAATTAAAAAATAAAATAAAATAAAAATTCCTCCATACCATATGCTTAAAATGAGCTTCATTAATTGGGTATTTATAATAAATACTAAAATACACTGGAGAGTGTGAAAATATGAACTCAATTTTGAATACCGTTAACAGATACATAGACACTCTGACTCGTTTAATTACAGCAAGAGAACTTTTTTAAAAAAATAATTTTTGTAAACGCTCATCCTGAATCTGATGATCAAATATGGGATTTACATTGAGATCAAAAAAGTGCATTTTTGATACAAGTCCCTAGAGGTCACTCTAATAATTTAAATATATTATTTGTGTGCCAAATCAAAGCTGTAAAGCTCTTTAGCAATACTCTAAAATTTCACATAGATGAAGCTATTGTTATATATTCTGACAGTATTTTTAAAAGTATAATAAACATCTGATTATATTCTTCAATTTTACAAGGATGGCAAACAGGGCAGAAGCATTTAATTCACTCATGACAAAAAGTTCTATGCACAAGTCAGTGACTTGCATTGCCCTGAAAGCAGAATATTACTTAGTAAGGAGAACAGAGGTGATGGGGGATGAACAATAACAAGACAGCATCTCAATACTGTTCCAGAAAATTTGCACTTGCAACAAAGTTTTCAAGTCATTCTCATTGAAAAAGCAGTAAGCTTTTTGTAAGCAGTGCCCCCATCCCTCAGGAATGCCAGGGACCCAGTAAAGGCCAAGAAAGTAGGCGCCTCTTACTCTGTAATCATAGGTGGCATCTGGGTTCTCATCACAGGCAATGACCTCAGGAGCCATCCAGTAGGGGGTGCCTATGAATGTATTTCTCCTCCCAACTGTCCGGTCCAGCTGAGCACTCACACCGAAATCAACTGTGGGAGGAAGAGAAAGGAAGGAGTAGAACATAATTAGCAAATAAGTAAACTATCAGACGAAGAAAGGTGAGGAGGAGGTGTCTTCAGAGTAAACTCAAGGAGTAATACTTCATGGATATACAAACTCCTCAAGGTCACCAGCACTGATAAGGAGCAGTCTCCAGAGCAGAGCCACTAAAATGACAAGATCCTCTACCAGTCTACCGGCTCCTGGGAAGCCTGAACCCAGCCACTTCCCTGAGCTTCCAGGATAGTGGCCACCAGAGGGACTTTTGGATGAATTAGGATGTTCGGTGCTTGCAGGAAACATGCCTGCGACAAACAAGATCAAGTCATAGAAAGCTCCAAGTTCAGGAGAACTGACTAACACCCACGTGACCTAGCTTCTGAGGCAGCACTAACCACAGAAAGAGAAGAAAGCCACAAAGGTTTTCTGGAAAGAACACAGTAATGAATTCAATAAAGAGAATGAAGCTATATCACAAATATACTAAGAAACACCCCTCAGAGTACCTGGGACTTCCGATTTTTCAGAGTGACCCCTACATCCTACTCAGCCGAACGATGATGGTAGTCTAGAGGAAAGTTCAAGGGTGGGAGGCAGAGCTGACAGGAAGACCAGGATCTCTAATAGAATGTTTGCGAATGATACCACTATGTACATTGTCATTACCCCTAGGAGGACTGCACGATGCTGAGATCACTCACAGGAGTGGGGTTATAGACTCAACTTGTGTATGTACATCTCCTGAAGCCACTCGGGCAACGACATGGCCAAGAGGTGGGCTCACAAGCTAAGGGCTCCTGAGACAGACACATGTGCCAAGCAGTGCATGCCATTTGCAGCAACTCAAATAGCAGTCGCAAGTGATCACCAAGCGATTATTACGAAGGGAGTATCACAGGCCTGGCACCTGCAGGCCAGTGCAGGAGACACACACAGCTTGCTGAGTCACTGGGAATGAGAACAATTCAAGTGTCTCCTATCTTGGTTTTGAGGGAATTTCCTAAATGGGCACCCTATTTCTCCACAGACGACCGATAAATGGAGGTATTATGCAAGAAAGCAATAATGAAGATTTTAAGGTAGAACTACGGTGTGTAAGATTTTTGAAAGATGGAGTAGATCCTTATAAGTAGAAAGAATTTTTTTCTGTGATGCCTTAGTGGAAGAAAACTTACTGCTAATTCTGTTTAAAAATTTGACAGAACCATTATATAAAAGTGGGATTGAAAAAAGTTCAGGGGCGCCTGGATGGCTCAGTCAGTTAAGCGTCCGACTTCAGCTCAGGTCATGGTCTCATGGTCCGTGAGTTCAAGCCCCGTGTCGGGCTCTGTGCTGACAGCTCAGAGCCTGGAGCCTGCTTTGGATTCTGTGTCTCCCTCTCTCTCTGCCCCTCCCCTGCTCATGCTCTGTCTCTCTCTGTCTCAAAAATAAATAAAAACATTAAAAAAAAAATTTTTTTAAAGGAAAAAAGAAAAAAGTTCAAATTCAGGTAAGGGAAACAGGAAATATAGAAGAACCATTATAAAATCATCTCCAGGAAGATACTTTGGACCTCATCCATTCAAGCATCCACACATAAATTTACTGAGCACCTACTACATCTAAGCCACTAAGTTAGGTGCCAGATTAGAATGCTTTCATAAGGGGCACCTGGGTGGCTCAGTTGGTTGGGCAACTGACTTCAGCTCAGGTCATGATCTCGCAGTTTGTGAGTTTGAGCCCTGCATTGGGCTCTGTGCTGACAGCTCAGAGCCTGGAGCCTGCTTCGGATTCTGTGTCTCCCTCTCTCTCTACCCCTCCCCTGCTCACACTCTATGTTTCTCTGTCTCTCAATAGTAAACAGACGTTAAAAAAAAATTATAAAAAAAAAAGAATGCTCTCATAAATAAAACATCCTAGTTGCTACACTCCTAGAAATTACACTCCGGTGAATAAGTCAGAAATAGAGGTAAACAAATAGCTGTATAATTATAAATTGTGATCAGTATTAATGAGGAAACAAGTGGTGGCACCCAAAACAGATCGAGGGTCATGGAAGGTCTCTGAAGATGAGGAAAAAACTGCAACTTCAAAACTGTTCCCAGTGGGGAATAGTGTACGTGAAGACGCCAAGGGAAAAGTCTAAGAAATATAAAAATGAGTGAACTGAAGAAGAGAGAAGTGAGGATGGTCACAAAGTAGGGCTGGAAAGTAGTAGGAGCCATGGCTTTTTATGGGCCATGGTAAGAAATGTACATTTTATTCCAGGTGTAAAAGGAAGCCACTAACGGGTCTTTAAGAAAGAAAGTGATGTGATCTGATTTAAACAGTAGTCTATTATATGGTGAGCAGAGCAGAGGGGAGAAGCATGAGGGAAGGGCGGTTGGAGCCAGACAAAATAATAACCCCAGTTCTCACTTAAGTAGAACAAAAGAGAAAATGTGGGTAACAGACTGAGCTTTTAGCTAAATGCCAGTGAGGTAGAGAGTGTCGCTGGTCTGCACCAGGGGCCAAGTATTAGATCATGTGGCACATGCATCACATACCAAGTTTCACCTCTGCATTCTCAGTCAGCAATACATTCTGGCCCTTGATGTCCCGGTGAATCACGTGATGGATATGAAGATGTGCCAGTCCCTGAAGAAGACAGACAGATTTGAATTTTAGTTCTTTGTTGCTGCAAATAGCCAGGAACACACTTTTTATAACAAAATGCACATGCATGCCAATAGCTTTATGAACCATATTCAGAACGTACTATAATTCAATCTTAGTGCCTTCCCATGAAGACATCACCAGTAGTACCACACAAACAGAAAGAAGTACCCATTCCCCAATTCCAGTGGGTTAGGTCCCTTGTGTGAGCAACATTACCCGTTTCTAGCTGTTCCTTGAAGATATGCTCTAGATTACCATCTGTAGTTTCTCTGCTGTAATTTGTGCTATTTGTGTACAGGGTGGTTCCTTTCCCACGCTACATGTCCATCTTTCAGTGGGTGACCCCGTGGGTATATCTGAACTAGACCCATCCCAGGGGAAAAGCAAAGAGCCAGAGAGGGTTTTAAGTCTGGCTGTTGAACACTGCCTAGTTTTCCCACCACATAGTGACAAACTGCTAACTGCTGATCAATCCCACTTCCACCCCAGCATAAAACAATTCTGCCACTGAAACAGCTTTATGTTCAAATAAAATATCCTTCCTTCCCAAGGATATAAACCCTACTGGGCATATAGCACTTTCTGATGACCTTGTATCTGGAGCAAAGCCCAAGAGCATGTCTCTTAAGAGAGGTGGCAGAAGAACAAAAACACATTCTGCATCCAACAGATGCCCGACAGACAAAAAGGTGTCATTCTCACAACTCCTGTACTTTTTCTATCTTTAGCTAGAGAAGCCAAATCTATAGGCTGCCTCCTTAAGATACAAGCAACCTATTTATTCTGAAATGTCTCAATTCAAAATGGCCAGATCAGAAGAAAGGTTTATTTCATTTTCCAGTTTGATTTTTTGTGTGAGGTTTTATTATCATTACCGTGTAGGGTATGTGTTAAATATAACAGCTGCTCTAGAATACTAATTTTTCTAGCACAGGGGGTTTCTAAACAACAATTTACTAGTCTGCTTATAAAGCAGAATTTAGCCTACATGATGGCCCTGTTTATTTTCCCCCCACACAGGATGTGCAGTGTTACACCGCAAAGCACTGACTAGGGGAAAAAGGCACTAAAAATATATGGTATGTTAGTGCTATAGTTAGGAAGAAAGTCTCTCCTTTCAGCATGGCATAACTTTGAACAGCAAAGAAGAAACAAACAAAAAAAGTAGCTTCCCTAATTCCTTCATAATTCCTACTTCTATTATTTCAGTTCATTTTATATTCTTTTTCACAACCCCCATCTTATACTTTTACAGGATTATCTTAGCGACAACAAACATAAGTATTCACATCTTCTCAAAGAAATGTGGCCTGCATGCACTCTTGTTTCTTACAAGCAATAAACTTAAGAAATATCTACTTCCTGTCCCTACTGCTAAGGGATTGATGTGTCTCCAGGTGAAACCACTCAAGGTGTGTCTAATAGCTCGTAGACAGTGTGAACTTGAGTTATGATTATTCCAAATGAGTACATCTTTCCCTATATGAAGAGAGAGAATGCATGTTCAACTACTGCCATGCCAAAAGTTAAGCCACAATTATTCCTCCATAGCAAAGATAGTCCAAATATACAGTAAATACCACCCTAGAGCAAATGCATCGAAGTTTCAAAACCAGAAAACATTCTTCCTGTAACTCTCATTCATGGACATAGAGCAAAGGAACATCAAAGGTTGTCCTTCAGTGTTGGTTATGAAAGGCTTACAATGAATATCAGCTTCTACTAAAATGCATCAATAGCTGTGCGGACTATAAACGTCGAAGTGGGCTGGAATGAACATGGCTGGCTTTGTTGGTAAACCTTTGGTCAAGAGTCTCAGTGGGCCAGCCCAAGAGAGCTTTCCTACTGATGTCTGAGGCCTATATGCTCATGACTCTCAACCTTCTGAGGATCTTAACATAATAACAGCATGTGAATCTAACATCTACTAAAGAAGGTAGACAAGTTTCGCTGCTGCAGAAATTAGCTAACCCAGCAGTGTCTTTGAGAACCCAGGTTATCCACTTGGGCTGGCTGGGTGCCTTCCTTTTCCAGGACAGCTCACCTCCTTCTCACCATATTGCTTTCTCTTTACCAAAGTGGACTCTCAGTGGTCCCTGTGAAAAAACACATACTAGCTTGTGACACACTGACTCTTCCAGAGACTTGTTTTTAGTTCATTTAGACTTTGGTTATAGAAAAAATTGCCATCCTAAATGAAATGTAAATGAAGGGAACTCTTTGTTTCAGGTACCCACTGAGGTGGAAAACATTTGGTGTATCTCAGAAGGATGTCCATTAAGCTATTATGATCATTCCAGGGCCTCAAACAACCTGGGCATCTTTGAAATAATGTCTGAGATCAATGGAAGTAAAATAGCTAAATATACTTACTACACGATCAGTAGAAAAATGCTTGCCTGCGTACATAAAAACATGTTAGTTGTCTCTGATAGGCAAAATACATTTGACACCTAGGGCATTCATACTAAAACCTACATCTCTGCTTGAGAAATCCTACACTGGAATTATATACACAAAAGGTGTCAGTAAGTGTAATATTTACTGACAATTCGTTATATACACACATTACATTAAATAATTTCATATATACCAACTCATTTAATTCTCATAACAATGACACTTGTTTCATAAGGTTGGTATCTAAAATTTACAGATGAAGAAAGTCCTTAAAGGGGAGTAACTTTGCCAGGGGTGTGTATCAGGTAAGTAGCAAAGGCAGGACTCAAACCCACATCTGCCTCACTCTAACCACTGTTTTCTCCTGCAGACCACGCCAAGAGTTTTAGTTGTTAATATAATGAATGCATTTGCCCACTTGGTGAACTCTTTCACAGTAGTACAGGATGGGATACTTAGTTTTCCACTTTTAGACTCTGCTTCTTACAATAACCATAAAAGATAGGACTCTCATGTTTTCATAATGAAATCTGAGTGTGATTATAAAGAGAAGGTAAGGTTCTTCCACCTCAGCCCCTATGACTAGTTTTCTTAAGGGAATTGCTTAATTTCAAGGGCTTCATAAAATATCTAAATAAAAAGGAATTAAAATTCATCTCTGTAAATTCTAGGTGGTGTTTTTTAAACCTGAAATCCTCTAAGAAACTTAAATATAAAAGTAGGGTAAATTTACCTATAAATAAAAAATACAGCAACAGTTTTTTTTATTAGTGAGAGAAGCATAAGAATTAGATTCTAGTTTAACTCCACAGTCTTTATTTTTTAAATGCGGTGGGTAAATGAAATCCAACAAAATCATCTAAATGTGTAATTAAGGGGTAGTGACACTGGGACAGCTGGCCAAAGGGAAGAGGCCCACTGCTAACCCACACGCACTTTACAAATGCAATCTACACAGGCCCTCTGCCCGTGGCATAAGTGCAGCACCACTACTGAACGCGATCATTTAGAATCTGCTAAAACAGTAGTTCAGAAACGTTAACATAATAAACTGGCTTTCAATCAGCTGTAAAAAACATTAAACATTAGAACTTCCCCTCGTAAATATTGCAACAAATTCTCAGAGTTAATGTCAAAGTCCACAAGATGATTCTAAAAGCCAGCGATTGGCATCATTGATATTGATTCATAAGCTTAGACACAGGATTCCTATAAAAACAATAGTTAGAGATGATTTCTCTTCACTTGGATTTTCTTTTTAACACCTGGAGGGTGAATTCAGGGAAATACAGAAAACTATTTTTGGGTAAGTCTACTTTCCTTAGATACTTGTCATAATCAAAACCATGATGTAGCTTAAACAATCAAAGCCAGCCAGTTATACAGAGCCCTTGGCTGTCATGAAAAGAACAATCTGTACAGTTACAGTTAATGCAAAGTAATACTCAGGGCTAGGAAAATGAAAATGGAAACACAAGACCATGTACCGGGCATCACAGACTCGCCCTTCTCCTTACCCTCAGGATTTCTCTGGAGATGTAAGCTATCCAGTCTTCCTTGAGTGTGTTCCCTTTGGTGTTCTTCACAAGGTCTGTAATGGACCCAGCCCCGCAGAACTCCATAACAAGCTACGGGACAGACAAGACACACTGTGACTAGCACATCCTAGCAGTCAGTGAGAGCATCACAGCTATTAGTACACACTGGAGGGAAGTCAGGAAAGCAGTCTAAACCCCCTCTGCCTTCCCTAAAGATCTGGGTACATGATCATCTTGGAAGCATCCAAATTACTGAGAGCTCATTTCGCCATTTAATTTATTCACTGTGTATGTTTGATCCAGGAGATTTAAGAGTTTCTGATATTTAACAGCACATCCCCCAGTGCAGAGATTCTAAAGTGTTCTTCCTCTCTCATATGGGCATGGGAAGACCATTTTGTCCTTAATCAGTGACTAATTATCAGAAATCTGATGGAAATACTCTAACATCTTCTCTCATTTGCCAGAGTCAAAGATATTCTATCTTCCATACATTATGATTCTCAACCTTTTATATTAAGAGAAATGCTATTTTAAAGCAGTACATAATTTTAAAAATACATTTTTTACAACACCTAAATGTTTATACAATATGAACACAAGTATATTTTTTAAATACCTAGAAAATGAATCGAGCGATTCTAAAATTTTAACTTTGATTGGATTTGGGCAATGAAAATAAAGATTAATTGCTTGTCTTTTGCCTTAATTTTGCAAATTTTCTATGATGAGTTTTAAAAAAATTAGAAAAAGTATTTATTTTCCTGCTTTTTAAGTCCAGTGCCTTTGGCATAACTAACATGATAACCACAGATCTGACAGCATGTCAGTGTCACTATCTTCAAGACAGACGTGGCTCAGTAAGAGATAAGGCTGAATGTTTATCAATTCTAGGAATATCCCTGGAATTTAATACTTTCAATTAATTGTCATCATTAATATTATTAATAAATACTGTCATACTGTTTTCTTGTGACATGTCCCCTTCCAGATGGCAAAGAAGATGCATTTAGTTGAGCTTCCGTATTAATTTCCATAAATAAAGTTTTTATTGTTGGTTTTATTTCCGAGCTCCTAATTTCCTTGCGTTTTGGTTACATTACTTTTAAAAAGTGCCATTTTATTCCTGAAACATGAAGTTAACTTTTTTCCACGCAAAGTGAAGCCAACATAAAAATAAACATTCAGCCAAGACTGTTTAACCTTTAACCAAGAAAGCCAAGGAAGATACCAGGCACTACCCCCTTTGTCTTTGCTTTTCTCTCCCCTCCCTCTGGAAGGTCCTTACTGTCCTTTTTAGTACAACTAAAGAGGAAACCTCACAAAACCCTCGGGAAACATTTGCCTACCCAGAGCTGGTCATCATGTCCTGGAGGGCTCTTCTTAATGAAAGCACCGTAATATGTTGCAATATTTCTATGATGAGAATATTTCTTCAGCATATTTATCTCCAGTTTGATTTCTTCCTCTTCATCCTTAAGAAAAAAATAAAAATAAAATGTGTGGCTTTTGAATTATGTGCATTTTACCTTCCCCACCCATAGGCAATAACACAAGTTCCCAGCCCCTCCCACAAGGGAGAGACATACATTCACTTTATCCTAGTGACAAGAATTGGGGACTTCAACAAGACTCACCCTTTGAAATGTGATTACAAGCTATGCAAGAAATAAGTAAGTATAAAAGTTACAGATGTACATAAGATGTAGCATGGAGCAGCTATTCCATTAACTATGACCTTTGAACCTCAATTTGCTCATTTGTAAAAATGGGAGGAAAAAAGAGAACTGACTGATACTATTTCAACTAATTACAAGGAAAAGTTGTTTCTTTTCTAGAAAAGATTTGTGCATGTAAATCATCTGGCACACCAAAGGCAGAGAAGCTTCACCTGTAACAACCTTGCAGAAAGCATTACCTTCTGGTGTGGCCACAGGCAGATTACCGAATATAGACCAGCACTGCAGGCCCTGGACGGATGGCATGCTTAATGAGATCCACTACCCCGAAAAGAGATCCAGGTGAGTCCGGCGAGCCACAGTAATAAAACATCATTCAGCGACAGCAGGTTGTTTTAGACTTGGCTCACCCCCCAGACTCTTGCTTTATTAAAGTGAGATGAACAGAGGAAGAAATGTAGAGTTTGTGTGAAAAGATCAGAAGGAGAATGAAAGAAACAGATGGTGACACAGGTCTGGAAAATAAAAATAAGTTGTCCTTGTGAATGGTGAGGGCTGCCAGTCTCCGCCTTTCTCTCTCATACACCCCTGGGGCAGTACCTGCAACAGCATGGGCATTCTGTCCCTTGGTGCATACACATGACACAGAGAGAGTCTGCCAAACTACCTGCTGGGTTATGTTAAGTAAGATTTATGGACAGCATGAGAATGAGAGGAAAGCAGAATTAAAGTGATGAAGAGGAGAGAAGGTGGGGGAAAAGAGAAAAACCACCCTGGCTAGAAAAACAGCATCTGGGGGAGGATAATGATCTTAGAGAAACACTGGATAATCAGATCTCTAGAATTCCCTTTATTACATATATTTACTGACATGCTCAATCCACTTACAACTGATGTTCTTCCTTCTCCAGGGAAGACTCAGCATTTCTAAGTAGTCAAGGTGTGTAAGAGAAAGATAGTGCATGTGAAAGAACATGCATGCACACAGGCTGAAGAAACCTACTGTGACAGCCTTGCATCTCCAAAACCCATTTATAAGGCCTCACGGATCTAAAGTTTGGTTTGAAAATACTGTTAAGATAAAAGCTACAACATTATTAATTAGATATTAGTGATGACACCAAATGAAAAAACAAAATTTCTTAAAATACAACTTTCAACTGTACACTACTGCTTTAGAAACCAAACATGTAACAAAACAAACTCAGTACAGTGATTTTTTTTTATTTTTTAAAAAAATTTTTCTTAACGTTTATTTATTATTGAGAGACAGAGAGACACAGAGTGTGAGCAGGGGAGAGGTAGAGAGGGGGGAGACACAGAATCTGAAATAGGTTCCAGGCTCTGAGCTGTCAGCACAGAGCCCGACGTGGGGCTCGAACTCATGAACTGGGAGATCATGACCTGAGCCGAAGTCAGTCGCTCAACCTACTGAGTCAAATCAGGTGTCCCTCAGTACAGTGATTTTTCAGATGGTGGCCTCCAGCTTGGTCCCCAGACATAAGTACATTAGAATATTACAGTATATTAATAGGCATAGTTGTCATGTGATTTTAGCAGATGGTGACTGCAAACACGGAGCAGAGTCACATGGCCAAGTACAGTCCATACAATAATCTGTGTACTAATTCTCATTCAAACCCTGTATATATGAAAACACACCAAATATATCACTTCAATCTGTGATTTAAACATGGCCATGTTGAGAGTAGCAATGAAAACTGAGATACTGAATAACCAGGATAACTATCTTAATCCTAAACAAAAGCAGTGTTAAGCCTGGCTAGTATACACAAGAACACACTCCTACTTGGGACTTTTCTTCAAAGAAACTTTATACTAAAACATAAAAGGGTGACAATTTTTATTAATGTAAGGAAGGAAGCATGTCCAAAACACAGCTAGAAGGCCCAATTCATTAAAAGCTTTATCTTCTTGCTCTTTCCACATGCTCACATACACACGCAGAGTGTGTAATGACCACAACTTGCTGGCACACAACACATGAAGCCTCTCTCTCCAGCATCACCACAACTTACAGCTCACTCCCAACAGTATCCGGGAGCAGCCCAGGACAACCCTAATGGGACCTGTCAAGACCAATAGGTTCCTAACAAAAAGTGGCACATGACCCTATGGCCAATAATGTGCTCCTGATTGGAAAGGCATGCAGTGACTGTCACTCCTAGAACAAGGCCTATGGTTAAACATGTTGTGCCCTGAAAAGCTAAATATCCCACTTTCCATACACTGGACCACAATTAGATGATTAGAAAGTCAGCTAAAGGTTTGATTTTTTTTTTTCCTTTTATCCAAAATCATCAATGTACAAAGATCTGGGATATAAAGACTACACAAAAACAAAAAGAACAATGGTGAACTAAAATAGGAGAAAATCAAAATATTGATTTTAATTTTGTATTTGTAGCCAATCATGACATGCAGTGTGTGCATCTTGTTGGGTTGCACAGACTTTGCTTTTATTGATTCATCCCTACCTACCTCCCTTCCACTCCCCATATTGGCTAAATTATTCCAAGAGTCATTATTCTGTGTGATACTCTGCCAGTAAGTTTCACTTCTTGACAGAAAGCAAATGTTACCTACAATTCTCCCATGAGAAGCTTCCTGTGCAATAATTAAGGATCACAACATATTTTGAGGAATTTCAATATATTTTTTCTTTAGCAACATAAACCAGTGTCTTCTAGGATCTGACTTGCTCACCACTCTTTTTTTTTTTTTTAAGGTTAATTTATTTATTTTGAGAGAGACAGAGACAGAAAGACGGGGGGGGGGGGGGGGGGGGGGAGAATCCCAAGCAGACTCCACCCTCAGTATGAAGACCAAAGCAGGCTCAATTTCACAACATTTGAGATCACTACCTGAGCTGAAATCAAGAGCTGGATGCTTAACCGAATGAGCCACCCAGATGCCCCTTTTCACCATTCTTTATAAGAAGAATTAAGAGCTTCCAGAAGCACTTGATGTTTTCAGAGCTCATGGAATTGAAATTCTTATGCATTCTATAGATTTAAAAATTCTCATAGGCTTAAATTCAGTGCTGTCCACTGATGTGAAAGACACTTAATATGCATAATGGTAAATACTGTTGGCAGACTGTCACAGCACAATATATTTACTTAAATCCAAGATGCCACTAGGTAGAGACACTGAAGTACTTCATGTAATGAAAGTATGATTCACCATCAACCATAGACATACATTTTTGAAATTGGGCCACGTATTAGAAACAATGAAATATGATATAAGAACTTAAATACAATCAAGTTTAGCAACAGCTTTTCTAATATAACTGAAACATCCAAGTATTATCCATAAATACGGTAATCAGATCAATGCCACTTGCCAGAGTATTTCCAAGGTTTAAGTAGTCAAATCCCGGAAGCATATGAAACTGAACTACCAAAAATTTTGAGAGGAAACCATACTGGCCTCTCAAACTAGTATTTTAGGAAATCGTTTATATATACTTTGGACCTTCCTTCTCTTGCTTCTATGATTTCAAAATAGATGACCATCATACACCTTATAAAATAAAAAGGGCATTTTACCACCAGTAACTGTCATATACTAATTAAGAATGCCCACCTTGGAGAAAAAGCATCAGAAATGTAGAATCTGCCAATGGCTTTGAGCCAACTACAACTGGAATCCTAAATATGACTAATGTGTATAATAACACATGTTGTCTTTGGAGTAATAATGAACCAACTTTTGAATTCAAATTTCCCTTTGGTCATTAGTTAAATACAAGTTTGGTGGTCTCATTCCAACATTTAAATATGTACACACTCCCACCACCACATGCCCCATTTAGCCTGAGAAAAATACAGTAGAAAACAGTCGGGGCAGGCTAAAGCTGAAAGTTAACAACCACCCTGTATATGAAAGAAAGTGGAATGGACAAAACGACAGGACCTAAGATTATATATCCCATCTGTCTAGACCAAGTCCAAATGACCTTGCCCTTCATTCTCCTCTTTAGGAGCCCACAATCATACACAGATGAAAGAAAAAAAAAGGTAACTACAGAGAAGAGAGGGTACGTTTTGGTGAGAAAAGGAAGGCTCCCTCCTGGTTTTCTCCATGATGAGGCAGCTGCTAGGCTCCACTCAGCGATTTAATGCAGCTGATGCCAATTAGCATTTTGGACTCCAACCAGGGGAGCCAACTCTCATAGAAAAGGTCTTTGTCTCTGGCTGGAATAGGACTAGGCAAGGAGTTTTCTGTTGCCTTCCTTGGCTGCTTAGAGGCTGGAGGAGGGGAAAACATCTGAATAGTGGTAATTTTCAAAAGCAGCTATGGGTTCATAAATAAGTCATAGGGCAAGCCCTGCCCACTCCACCATCTGAGCACCGAGGAGTGCATATGATTAGTGAGTTTTTAAAAAATGACTCCTTAAAATATTTTTAAACTGTTACCCAAATTTTCTTTCCTTCCACTGATGACAGTAACAATGTGAGGAGAGACAGGCAGACTTCAGATAAGCTAACTGGGAGGATCCAAGAGGACTGGGAAATGTTCTGAGTAATCATCTTTCTTCCCAGCATAATTCTGCATAGAATTAGATCTACCCATTAACAGCTGAACAAAAAAGGAAGGGTAATTCATTATTCACTGTATCTTTGCTAGTGGAGAGAGGGCTGATAAAATGAGATATGCAAATATCTGTTAGATTTCACCATCAAAATATATAAATGAATATACACTTAGAATGCAAATACCCATTTTTAAAGACTAGTTTAATCTTTTGTTTTAATTAACTACTACCG